CGTAGTAACTTGTCTTCCTCTCTGTTTGAGCAAATTTTTAGTATTCGATAGGTGCATTGCCATATACTTTCTTTTTGTTCTTTCGTACATAGATCTTTCCAACTCTTTGTTGAAGCGTCCTCTATGCTTTTTTTATATATATCTCTGGCTTGCAAGTACTGTTCTATGACATAGTTTCTTCTATTTTGGTGTGCATTTTTGATTCTTCTTCTGAGTCTAATCATCTCCTTCTTTTTATCTTGTAATTCTTCATTCCACCATTTTGCTGCTCTGTTTACCCGTTTTGTTTCAATTTTTGGAATGACTTTGTTACATGCCGTTACTATGCTTTCTGTGTATTCATTAACAATTTCATCTATTTCTTGTTTTGTCTTGATCTTTGCAATTCTTTCTTGGGTTATATTATTACTGTGTAGCGCTTTCTCTAATTCATTACTGAAATTATTCCAGTTTGCTTTCCTGGTATTGTATTTTCTAGTACTGTTAATTTCAAGTTCCTCAGATGTACTTGGGGTTGACAGGTTATAAAGAATTGGTTTATGACTGGAAATTGTGCAGAACGAATCGTCAACTCTCCAATTTGTTATTTTATGTAGGACCGAGGTTGTGCAAGTGGTGATATCGATGATGCTAGAGCAGAGAGTTCCCATTCTGTAAACACTGAAGGTAGGGTATTTTCCCGTGTTTAATATTTCCAGATTAAGTTCAGCCACGGTTTCCATTATCAATGCTCCTCTTTTGTCATCAGCCTTGCATCCCCACCAGATACTGCTTGCATTCGCGTCACCTCCGATAACAATATCTTCGGTATTCATGGCTTCTACAATTCTCTTCAATGTTGACAGGTCTTCTTCGATGTTGCCTTTTTCATGTAAATATATACTAACAAAACCTATTTTATAATTACCTATTCTTAATTCTACACCTACAATATCTTCGGTTAACATGCTAGGATTCATTATGAACTGGATATTAGGATCTGTGACAACGATTGCTGATCTCACTGGTTTGGTTAAATCATGACTTATTTTCTGAATTACGCGATACTGTGAACCCACGGTTAAATGTGCCTTAGCTCCAACATAGGGTTCCTGCATTAATATTACTGAGTAACCCTGAGATGTGGCAGCGCGTATACACTCAAGTGTAGCGGCGCGGCCACGATCAAGATTGTACTGTATGATTTTAATATTTTTGCCATCGCCGGAAGGGCTTAAAGTTACTGTCTTATTGCTTGAATCGTCTTACTCTCAGCAGTATGAAACGGAGCTCCTTGCTATCTTGTCCCATTTTTGCCATTCTGGGCATTCAGGGCTGTATGCGGGGTGTGTGGAGCTTTCTTTTCCTGTTGTCTTACAGTTTATGCACACGGGTGCAGAGTTCCTGTTTGAACAAGCCCTCGTATCATGACTACCAGAGCAGTACCCACAATTCAAACCTTTTGTACAGTCCTTTGCCTTATGGCTGAACCCTAAGCACTTATAACATTGGGTTATTGGGGACTGGTCTATGCAGGGAATTACCTGGTAGCCAATACGAAGCTTTTGGTCTTTTAGTAGGGACCACATTGGTGATGAAACCTCCACTATGACATTAGTCAAATCGCTCGTTCTCCCCTTTGTCCTTCGAAGAATTTTAGCGTGTTTTTGTTCATCGTTCAAACTAGAAATTAGTTTGGAGTTTTGGGTCATTATTGCTTTAACCAATTTGTCATTATTTAGGTCATTTGTTACTCCTATGAGGCGCAGCTGTGGATGCTTAACGGATGGTGTTGATACCGTTATCTTACTGCATGTATCTCTAATTGCTGTTTTTAGTATTTGTCGATCCTGGTGGGAATCGCAATTAATGACTACTCTCTGGTTCCTGAGTTTTGCAATTTTGTTTACCCGCACGCCAAGTTCCACAGGGTCAACATCTTTTCTAATTTGTTTCATAATTTCATCGCACGTCGATCGTGGGTCAATGGACTCAAGAATCATTGCGTATCGGGGTGTCCCGGTTGCTTCTGCATAAGTAGGCTTATGTGAAAGAGGCTTGATTGCCATTGATTGTGGCAATGTTGTATTAAAATCGTTCGCATTTCCGTTTTTATTGTGGATCTCATCATAGTCTTTCCTTAGTTCGTCTACTCTCTCTTTTATATCAGCCACTGCAAGTTCAGTGCCCAGTCCCAAGTTTCCTTGGATTACAGTTTGAGCAGTGTTAGTTTCTTTTAGCTCATTGATCTCTATAAGAAGTGTTTGGATCATGTGAGTAATCGGTTGCATCACTGCTTCAAGATCATCTCGTATGGCAGGTGTTGTTTGTTTGGAGGGTGGTTGTTTTTGTTGCAGCGTTATTATCATCTCTTTGGTTTCTTGTAGATGATTCATAATTGTTCCGATACGTGGGTCTTCTTGTGATTTTTGTTCAGTCTGGGCTGATGTCTGAGAATCAATGTGAAGTTTGGTTAGTTCGTTAACTGATAAACATAAGCTGTTAAGCTGATCAGCCATATCTGTGATCTTTCCAACAAGGTTTGTGAAGTTTCCTTTGCAAGATTCTTGATGTGTAGTCGAGCCACTCATACTCAAACTTAATTGTGTCTGGGATTTGGCTACTAGATCCCGCACCTCTCCTTCAATTTTGATGATGGTTTTTAATGGTTCATCCATCTCAAAGTTTAACCAGGTGCGAATTGCCTCAACGACCTTCCCTGTATTTGTTATAGCCTCATATGTTTCCTTTATCATGTTATAATGAGATTCTTGTATTTCCGTAAGTTGTCTATTATGGGCCCTTTCGATCCTTACTAACTCTTTCGCCGCACGACATTTTTCCTGCTCCAAAGCCAGCCGGTGACGTGAGCGGGAGTCAGACAGTGACAGCACCGTTTCGTACAGACCCTGGAGACAGTCGTGTACCTCGCTCTTGCATTCTCGTTTCATATTACCCGCTTTCTCAAGGGCTTCTTTTCCGGAAAGCAAGAATTCGTTAGCACGCTGAGTAGCAAGGTCCATAGAGATACCAGAGCGCTTGTAAGATGGAGGAAGTATACTAGACCTTCTACTATTGCTACTAACGATGCTGTCAGCCTCGGACCAGTCGTCATCCGTTTCTCGCAACTGCTTGCACTGGCCCAAAGTTTCTAGTTCTTTTTCCATGTCCATTGTCAGTGAACTATGCCCCTCTGACTCTGCCTCTTCTGCTGCTGTGACAAGCTGTTTCATAAGTTCGCTCTCGCCTTGGGTGCTCTTACTGGTCAGCACAAGGCTGGCTGTTTCCGGACACGGTTCACTGACGGAGTAACCTCTGGTGGGTGGGATATCCTCTGTTGCTTTGCTAGACGTGGCTGCGTTCTGTATGAGGACCTTTTTACGTAGAGCTGTACTGAGAGTTGGACTAGCGGCCCTGCTTGTCTTAGACATCCTTGATTTGGTTGAGCCAGCAACTGATGTGGTTGATTTACTGGACATTGTTGATGTTTTTCTCGAGAATCACACGCTACTATTCTGGCTTGTATTGGTATGGAAAGCCCTACTTAAGCCAAGTTGTTTAAGCCCAAACACGACCGGATTTAGTTGAATAGTACCGGAATTATGAAACTTTGAAGTGCTCTATATAGAGTCGGTATACGTATAGTCTGTCAGCTCTATAATGTAGCCTTCTATAATATGTGTCTTTAATATTAAAAATTTCTCAAAAATATAATATACACGGAGAGTTATAGGCCAAAAGGTTTTTGACTCTACGTAGAGTCTATGTTTTATATTCAGCTAAAAGCGCTCCTCGAGCCCTATTCAAAGAACCCAAACTCGGTAATCCCAGCCCAATAGGTTCGCAAATTACAGCGTTTTCAAGTTCTGGTTAAAAACAAGATGGCTGCCAAAATTACGGTTTCAACGCTGTAACTCCCGAACAAACAGGCCTACAGCTCCGTGCTTGGGCTCGTCTTACTGGGCTCGACCAGGGCTATAATGTCTTGTAGTTTTCAGGGCTCAAATTTTTTGGGCACTGAAATTCCCTGAAAGCTGGATTGTCGGTTCCGGCACTATCTGCCGACGTCTAGGGTCAAAACCCCAGTCCTCTACGACTCCTAGTTCGGCAGTTATGGCCTATTTTAGTTTTCAAAGATGGCTGCCGAAATGTCAAAGTAGATGTTTGACTGCCAATAACTCTGCTTCCAGAAATCGCAGGAGACCAGCGCTTCGACTATACCACTACTCTTCTCCCAGTCTTTCTGATAGGATCGACTTCAGGACCCTGAAATTCAGGAGCTCAGAAAAGCCTAAGTCGTTGTAGGTGGGTAGAAATCGTTCTAATAGTGGTATAGTCCAAAACCGCAACTCACTACGACCTCTACAAACAGAGCTATTAGGTTTTTAAAATTTTCAAAATGGCCGCCGGTCCAGACAACTATTTTCTATTTTGGCCTTCTCTTATTAGATTTGGCCCGTGTTTGGGCTCGTTTAAGAGGTCTCGATGTCGAGCTCAAGTCTATACAAATCTTTTGGCTTTTTAAGCCCCCTTTAATTAAATATTTTACAAAATAAGTAAAATTTTTAAGAAAATTTTATTTTTAGAGCCTAATTTTGTATTTAAAATTCTGAAAAAATTTACATAAGTAATTATCGAGACCCTTATGCTAAATTTATGTTTTATAATTTGCTAGTACTTATTCTAAGGGTAACACGTGTTAACAAAAATATTAAAAAAATTTATAACTAAAAAACTACTCACTAGAAAAATCCAAAATTTTGTAAATATGTTCTTTATGTTCTTATTCACACTATTTTAAATTAATAATTAGGGGTCTTCACTTTAATTTTAAAGTTATTGAGATATAAATTTTTGTCAAATTTTAAAAATTTAATATCTCTTAAGCCACTTAACTTAAAATTGTTCTGTAAGTTGCTGCCGGCTCCTCTTTGCGCGTGCTATCAGAATCCAACTTCAAAAATAGCCGCACGGCTCTGCGTCACAAAACACGTGCCCACGTGGCACTTGTTTTTTTGCGTTTTTCTCGAAGACTGTGTTTCAGAGAAATCTCAATTTTTGCACATGGGTGGGGGCCGCGAGTCACTTCAAGGCCGCACTTTCAAAAATAGGGGTAATAGCGATTAATCGCGCAGCGTTTCACTTTTAAAATTTAAAATTTTTTGAAAATCACTTTTTTCACGATAACTCTTTCACTAAAGCTCCGATTTTCTTGCGGTTTTCAATACTTTAAACCGCGAGTCAAAGCGCAACTTTTGACATATAACACACAGAAATCGGCTGCAAAAAACCTATTTTTCGGAATTTTTAAGCGCGGAGCGACTTAAAAACGTGGCGTTCGGGACGGCGGGCGGTACGGAACTCGGTTAGGTTAGGTTAGGTTAGGTTAGGTTAGGTTAGGTTAGGTTAGGTTAGGTTAGGTTAGGTTAGGTTAGGTTAGGTTAGGTTAGGTTAGGTTAGGTTAGGTTAGGTTAGGTTAGGTTAGGTTAGGTTAGGTTAGGTTAGGTTAGGTTAGGTTAGGTTAGGTTAGGTTAGGTTAGGTTAGGTTAGGTTAGGTTAGGTTAGGTTAGGTTAGGTTAGGTTAGGTTAGGTTAGGTTAGGTTAGGTTAGGTTAGGTTAGGTTAGGTTAGGTTAGGTTAGGTTAGGTTAGGTTAGGTTAGGTTAGGTTAGGTTAGGTTAGGTTAGGTTAGGTTAGGTTAGGTTAGGTTAGGTTAGGTTAGGTTAGGTTAGGTTAGGTTAGGTTAGGTTAGGTTAGGTTAGGTTAGGTTAGGTTAGGTTAGGTTAGGTTAGGTTAGGTTAGGTTAGGTTAGGTTAGGTTAGGTTAGGTTAGGTTAGGTTAGGTTAGGTTAGGTTAGGTTAGGTTAGGTTAGGTTAGGTTAGGTTAGGTTAGGTTAGGTTAGGTTAGGTTAGGTTAGGTTAGGTTAGGTTAGGTTAGGTTAGGTTAGGTTAGGTTAGGTTAGGTTAGGTTAGGTTAGGTTAGGTTAGGTTAGGTTAGGTTAGGTTAGGTTAGGTTAGGTTAGGTTAGGTTAGGTTAGGTTAGGTTAGGTTAGGTTAGGTTAGGTTAGGTTAGGTTAGGTTAGGTTAGGTTAGGTTAGGTTAGGTTAGGTTAGGTTAGGTT